GTCCCCTCACCCAGGTGGCCGTCCCGCAGCCGTTTCAGCGAGCAGGGCTCCATGTCCCCAGTGTCCCCAGTGTCCCCAGTGTCCCCAGTGTCCCATCGGTGTCCCCAGTGTCCCCTCACCCAGGTGGCCGTCCCGCAGCCGTTTCAGCGAGCAGGGCTCGCGCCGGCCCGAGGGCGCGGTGACGGTGGCGCTCAGCTGGCTCAGGTCGCTCTCGCCGATGTCCAGCGGGATCTCGGCCGAGGCGCCCACCTTGAGGTGGGACTGGCGCAGGGAATCGTCACCTGCGGGGACAGCGGGGGCACCCAGGGGTCAGCGGGGGCACCCAGGGGTCAGTGGGGACACCCAAGGGTCAGCGGGGACACCCAGGGGTCAGCAGGGGCACCCAGGGGTCAGCGGGGGCACCCTGGGGACAGTGGGGACACACAGGGGTCAGCGGGGACAGCCAAGGGTCAGTGGGGACACCCAGGGGTCAGTGGGGACACCCAGGGGTCAGCGGGGACACCCAGGGGACAGTGGGGACACCCAGGGGTCAGCGGGGACACCCAGGGGTCAGTGGGGACACCCAGGGGTCAGCGGGGACACCCAGGGGTCAGCGGGGACACCCAGGGGTCAGTGGGGACACCCAGGGGTCAGCGGGGGCACCCTGGGGTCAGCGGGGACAGCCAGGGGTCAGCAGGGACACCCAAGGGTCAGCTGGGACACCCAAGGGTCAGGGGGGACAGCCAGGGGTCAGCGGGGACACCCAGGGGTCAGCGGGGACACCCAAGGGTCAGCGGGGACACCCAGGGGTCAGTGGGGACACCCAAGGGTCAGCGGGGACACCCAAGGGTCAGCTGGGACACCCAGGGGTCAGTGGGGACACCCAAGGGTCAGTGGGGACACCCAGGGGTCAGCTGGGACACCCAGGGGTCAGCGGGGACACCCAGGGGTCAGCGGGGGCACCCTGGGGTCAGTGGGGACACCCAAGGGTCAGGGGGGACACCCTGGGGTCAGCGGGGACAGTGGGGTCACCCAGTGGTCAGTGGGGTCAGCCAGGTGTCACCCAGGGGTCCGTGGTTCAGCCCAGGGTGACAGCAGGGTAATTTTTGGGGGATTTTTGGGAGTTTTGCTGTTTTCACTGATGATCTGGGCGGTGAAGGGGCTGCCAGCGATGTGCCAGTGAGCCCAGGGATGGGTTTGGGTGGTTTTTTGGGGAGTTTTGTGGATTTTTCTCCTTTTTTTCTCATTTTTTTCAGTTTTTTTTTTTGTTCTTCCCCCAGATTTTGGGTTTTTTCTCCCGATGTTGGTGTTTTTCACCTGTGATCCTGGCGGTGAAGGGGCTGCCAGCGATGTGCCAGTGAGCCCAGGGATGGGTTTGGGTGGTTTTTTGGGGGGTTTTAGTGGATTTTTCTCCTTTTTTTC